AACAAGTCACATGATACACCATAATATCAAATGATTAAAAAATTGGACATTTGAAAAAATTGATAAAAAATAAAAAAAAGATTTTTTTTGAACAGTTTGATTTTTAAAAGCTAGATCCGGTTCCTAACTTGATTCTAAGTTTTCAATCTGACTCCTAGTCCAAAACAGCCAAACCCAACTTAACCCTTAAAATGGTTCACATCGATGGTTGCATCAGTTTGATCGTCCGATCTGATTCAATTTTTTGATCATTGGTTAGAACAATCACTTATAAACACCTAGACATAACTTGTCCATGCATAAAATTTTTTTCAAGCGATTGTACGACAAAATTTCACAATTTGAGATTACAAACATATATGATCTTATCATCTTATGTGTTCTCTCCTTGACATCATAACTTGCTCCCAAAAAAAACAAAAAAAAGCGAGCACATCTAAATTAGGACAATTTTGTTAAAAGTTTTTCGTCTTTGAAAAATTGAATAAATTTATTTAAAAAATAATTTATTTACTTAAGATATGCAAATAAATTTATTTAATTATTTATTTAAAAAATTAAATAATTTAAATATATTTTATAAATCAATTAAACAAACAGGATAATCTTTGTACAAATATTTTGAATCCAATATTGTCCGTTGATCTGAAGATTTGCTAGACACTTTGACTTAAATTAATTAAATATGAGGTAATCTTTCTAATGTAATTTTTTTACCAACAATATTACAACTCGATCTCTTTCACAAGACGTGAGTATATTCTATTAACAACAGACTAATATTTTTGAGGGTATTAGAGATTCTTTCGAACTAGATTTAATCCAACTATAAAGGTTAAATCCAATTCTCATATTCTTGCTTTTGACAAAAACTCCTGCCATCTATTCAAGCTTATATTCGTGACGAAAAAAAGGTGGAGACATTTATGACATTTTAGTAAAAATTTTAATTATATGAAGGGCTCTTGGGCCTATGGAGGAATTTCATATTTCTTTAGATCCTTCATGTAGATATGTTGTTTCTGATGGCCTTATATGAAATTTTCCCTTTTTGTTCTGTAAGTTCCGTTTAACTCTGTCTAAATTTGTGGGACGTGAGACTTTTCTTCTCACTGCGTTTACATATTTGAATTCCAATCAGTGACATTAAAGTTGTTTGGGTGTGAAGAGAAAGATTTATTAGAGGGGCTCCACTGCAATCATGTTGATGTTGATGAGGGACTGAATAGACGACCCATATTCATGAATCATGTTTCTTGTATTTCTTCCAGATTTATGTGGGCCGTCGTTAATTATTTATTATGTACATATACACGCACCAAACCAATCGTTGGCCTTTTTTTTTTTTTTTTTCACTTTTCCCCTTCATCTTCCCCCACCCCCCCCCCAATTTTTCTAACCAAGAAAATAATTACATTTTCACAAGTCTGATTAAAAATATGTATAACAAATTTTTTTTGGTTTGATGGTAATAGTGGTTAGTTTAAGGCCCGTTGGATACGATGGAACTGATTTTGAAGAATATGGTAAATGCATATGGATATATATATATATATATATATAGAAGTGAGTTTTTAAAATATATTTAGTACCTTTGTGGAAGTCTGATTTAATTTTTAATTAATATGTATATTTTAAATGTGAAAATACTAAAATACTTTCAAAGATTTAAAAAAAAAAATAATCCCTTAACCACCAACATAGAGGCCACCGGCCAAATCTTTGTTCAACATCGTCACTAGCAACAATCCAGAGTTATCAATAAACTATAAACCAGAAGCAATCTAGAAAAATTGATAATCACTCAAACCCATAGATTTGGAAGAAGATGTGAAATTTGTGAGGGACTAGATCTATTGCAAACCCATAAGTGGCAAATGTTGTCGAAGAACCAAGTAATCCAGAAGAAGAAGATTGCCACCATTGTCGATGTTTGTGAAGGAGAAGAAAGCTTTAAAAGCCATTGTCATCGTTTGTGAACGAGGTGGTGGTTCTGGAGGCCCCCCTCTAACCTTGTCGCTGTTCTTGTGCTTGCTATGGAGGTTATCGTCAACTTCCCTCCCTCCCTCTCTCACCTTGTTGTTGTTCTTGTGTTCCTTATGGAGGTCACCGTCACATCACTGTGGAGGTCACTATCAGTGCTCGCTGTTGCCACCACTATTGGGGTGGTGCTCTATGTTGAGGTGGAGGAAGGGGTATAATGGAGAAGATGAGGCGAGAAGACTGATGGAATTTGGGCTCCATGGAATATGCGATGGAAATCAACTTCCATCAATTTCGACTTCCATATGAAAGCTCAATTTCAACCTATTTTTATTCAAACATGTGAAATTTTAAATTTCATTTCCATCCTCTTAATTTTATTATATAGTTAAATGTCAAAGAACACCATGAAGAATTAATATAACCAAGTACACGCGAAGACTAAGAAATTAGAGGGTAAAATATACATGTAATATCCTTTGAACATCCTTTAAATGAAATGATTAATTAAATTAACACATCACATCGAGCAACTGTACATCTATGACTATGATGGACAAGAGTCCTAATATTTTTAGGATCCAAACCTGAGAATTACTAGTACTTACACTACAATAATTTTTGCTTGCAACAGTTTTATTTACAATAATTTTAAAACTGTTGTCTAATATAGGCATTAGCAATATTTTTTGTATGTTGCTATTATTCTTATATTTTAAGCAACATAGTTTTGGCAACGTTTGAAAACTGTTTCCTAAAATAGAATAAACAATAGTTTTCAAGTGTTGCAATAATTTTTTTGAATAGGCAACACAAAAATTGTTGCCTATAAAGGATCTTTTATGGCAATATTTTAAAAATATTTCCTATTCAAAAAGGCAAACAAAATGTAAATGTTGCCAATAGTTTCTCTTTATGGCAACATTTAAAAATTATTATTTGTTGTTTTTCTAAACATAAAAGTTTATTTTTTAATTTATTTTTATAATTTTTTTAGATAATTTATTTATTTATTCTCTTAATTTTTCAATTCATTATATGGATAAATTAAAAAATTAATTTAACAAGTATATATATATATATATATATATTATATTTTGCATTATAATATCAAAAAGTTAAGTTAGAAGAGTGGTTGGAGACACTTATTTTTTTTAATAGGTACTGGGTTCGAATCTAGAAGGAGAAAGGAAATATTAAATTTTAGCTATTTAATTATTTCGCAACAATTCTTAAATGTTGCCTATTTTATGTGATAAGCAACATTTGAAAAGTGTTGCAATAAGTCTTCTAAAAACTGTTGCCTATTCTCATAGTTTTAGGCAACAGTTTTACAAACACTGTGGTCAAAGGTAAGAAAACTGTTGCCTAAAGTAATAGGCAACACTCAAGTTGAAAACACTTGAAAACTGTTGCCTATAACTTTAGGCAATATTTTTCAAACCTATAGCAACACTTTTGAATTGTTCCTAAATAATAAAAATATTGTAGTGTTAATTAGTCCAAGGTATCTTATAAAAAGAATATGAAAGCAACAGATTTGTGTCTTTACTCATTTTCCAAACCACCTTTGGCGACAAATAGGCAATACTCACCGGACAAAACAATTAAACATGGATTTTTTTAGGAAAAATAACAATCAATTATCTCTGTATGAAATTTATATCAATCAACAATTAATTATTGTTAAAATACAAATGGATACTTATTGATTTGAATTAGTCTTTTATCAACAAGTATCCATTCAAGTTTTGAAAATAATTTATTTTAAATTAACAATTGTCCATTTGGCTTGTTTTTTATTTAAATTTTGATAACAAATGATCCTTAATTGATATAAATTTTATATAGAAATCCTTAATTGTTATTTTTTTAGTTTTTTGAGCATGAAAGGCAGGTTTCGTTGATAATAGAGAATATCTTTCTCAAAGTATTGAGAGTAATCTATAGACATTTTTTTAACTAAATTGTTATATATATAAAAAAGATGTAATTTAAACTTCCAACTATTTATTTAATTGATGAGAACTTCTATCATTCATGTTTATTTTAGTTGATATGAAATATTGATTTTTCATATTTTATAATTGAAGTCCTGATTAACCCTTTATAGATTCCCTATTATAAAAAGAGCTTATAGGAGCACTTAATTTTAACATACAAAAGCATTTTGTAAATTAAACACTCCCCATTTGAGTGCTCTTGTATAAGTACACGATCAGTTTCAAAATATTCTGGTAGGTTCAAGATATGGGAGCGTTTCTTCTTACAATTGCTATGTATGTTAACTTACGAAAACCTTTTTGTACCAAAACAGAATTTATGAGAGCCATTTACAGTACAAAGTCTCTCAAAATGTCGAGCTTTCAAGAGTGTATATTTTCTTTAGAAACGTCATCATATGTACGATTCCATAGACTTTTTACAGCAGTGATTCTCTCTGTTTTTTTTTTTTTAATGGTGAATCGTATGGTGTCCGAAGTCAAAACTCCAACCAATCCATATCAAGTAAATTGCTGCTATATTTTTAAAATTCAAAATCTCTAATTAAATTAATACAAGCCAAGCGCTTGTTGATTTATAGTAGTAATTCTACCTAAAATATTCCATCAACTTAAAGAATATATAAATTATTATTATTTAATTAAAAATGTGATGATAAATATTTTTCGTTACATTTTTTTTGGTTGTTTTCGAAATACCGTGACAAGATGAATTTATACCTACTGGGTATTCCCATGTTTGGTTTGCACATAAGTCTGCAAGTTAGACATCGTTATCTCCTCATGAATTCGGGGAGCTTTATAATAATCTTTAGTTTTATTATTCTTTTATTCGGAGGTTTTACCTTACTTTGTCATTTCACTAGACATAGGAGCCAATCTGCACCGTCCGATCTCCAATCTCATGGACAAATCAATCTTGATCGTCTATGCATTCTTTGACACAGTCCTCCCATTAATTCCTATAAATGTGTCCAATGAAAGCACTTCTCCACCATGCCATGCACCAAAAAAAGCAGGCGGTCGACTTCCTAATAATCACAGCCCGAGAATGCCAGCCGAAGGCGATGTGGAGCTGACAACTCCGGCGGTGAAGGCGGCGCCGGAGACGGACCAGAAGCTGGAAGTGGCAGTGCAGAACAGGGCAACGGTGGAGGCACTGTACAAGGCGTTGTTGGGACAAGGTCACATGGACAAAGTGGCCCTGTTGATAGCAAGTGATCTGGAGTATTGGTTCCATGGTCCACCGGGAAGACAGCACATGATGAGGATTCTGACCGGCGAGACGGTCCCCAACAAGGCCGGATTCCGGTTTGAGCCGAGGAGCGTGACGGCGATCGGCGACTGCGTTATCACGGAGGGGTGGGAGGGACAGGCATATTGGGTGCACGTTTGGACGTTGAAGAATGGGCTGATCACAAAGTTCAGAGAGTACTTCAACACGTGGCTGGTGGTGAGGGATCTGACGGCTGCTCCGGCTGCGGCGCCGTGGGTGGAAGAAGATCAGAGGCAAGCGGAGAAGATGACGTTGTGGCAGAGTCAGCCTCGTGATCTCTATCGCCGATCACTTCCGGGACTACTCTTAGCCATTTAGCCACAAAACATAAATATATAAAAATTCATGTTTGGATTAATTGGCCGTGTATTCATATTTCCGTGTACTAAGCATAATCACCGCGTAGTTCAAAAACTCGACAAATTGTGAGAAGCATAGTGGCTCAGTACTTTATTTGGCATGTGGGTCAAATCGTCAAGTGTTGGACAAAATAAATTTGAGAAAACTTAATTAATAATAACTGGGCCAGAAAAAGAGAGAAAAACAGTGAAGAATAAATTAAAGAAGCTTGAAGAAGCATTTACCATATATTAAAATACATGGAATATATCTTCTTGTTTTTTTGTTTTTTGTTTTTGTTTTTGCTTTTTAAATTTGCCTTCATTTTCTTTGTTTCCTACTTCTAGACCGAGTTTTGGAAGGGCCTTTCTTGGGTTATCTGTGGCAAGTGAGTCATTTCATGAACTAGCTTTCTTAGTTTCGAAGATCCTAGCCGACATTTATCCCAACATACTTTGAAATAACGGGATTGACCAAAAATAAAAAAAAAAGGAAAAATTTTCTATACATTGAGATGGTTAAAAGTCAAATGCACTAAGAAGTATCACTGAGCTTGATTGAAAAAACTATGTGCGTGTTTCTACACACACACACACACACTATATGGAAAATAAAAGATAAGACTTAGCATTCGTGACCTCATGGTATGATTTACGAAGCATTTTTGTTGATTTAAAAAAAAAAAGGTTTGATCTTACTTGCAACTTTAATCATTTAGCCTGCTGTCGCCTGTTATCATCATCATTGTTAAGAATGGGGGGAGTGACCAGAAACGGATGAAGAAGATAAATGAGCAAGATCAATGAAAAGATATTACATCTTAATTCAAAGTTTTAAAATTTAAGTTTATGGATCATCTCTTTTTATTATATATTTCTTTCTCTAGATCTCAATATGCGTTATTATTAACTAATTCAATGTTTATAAAAAAAAATGTTATTTGAAACTTTGACTTCCTAAAAATGTTCATATATTTTCATTTATGCTATTTTAGAGTTCCTACTAACATGTGTCCATGGTTTTTAAATTAAATATAGAACATTTAAAGATAAAGAATGTAAAAAGCAAAGGTATAAATAAAAAAACATAATATTTACTCAATATCTTATATTTTGGACCAAGAGGTATTTTTAAAATGTAACTTCTATTGTGGTATTTATGATATAATTATTAAGTTCAACTTTATCTGATGTAAAACTTTCTACATCATCTTAATCAGATGCACTTATATTTAGACAATCTAACAGTTTGTTTTTCTTCTCTCTTCCGTGGCGGCTGCTCCTCATTCCTAACAACAACAATACAAAAAAAAAAATTGATCTTATATATTATATAGTGAATAACTCCGTCATATGACTCTATAATTAACAATTAAGTTAATAGAATACATGGAATAAACAGCGCAGTGTTTTATACTCCGACTGATGTAAAATTTGCACGTAATATACTATAATTGTCAGGATGTAAGTAGAAATAAAGATAAACTATTAATCAAGTAACTAGCTTGGGATATTTTGATGTAAATTCTAAAGCCATTGGTCAATTTTTTTTATTTTTTATTTTATTTAAAAGCCGGCCGGATACAAGAACAACCCTCCTAGTATATAAGAGGCAGAGTGAATCCTCATGACCAATACTATAAAAATGCTCACTTTTTGCTGTCTTCAACACCGCACGAAATGTTCTAACAATTGGTATAAGCGATGATACATCTTCGTATATCTTTTTGGTAAATATGGATTTGGTAAGTGTTTCAAATCTGAATATATATATATATATATATACATATCATCGGTTTAATTGAATGATTGCTGAAAATAATGGCATAAGATACAAAGAGAATATAATGTACACCAAATCACAATTCCATCTTTTACTATGTTTTTTTTTTTTTAATCTTAATCCAACGATTCATACGGCTCTAGAGAAATGATTGAGATGTATTATCATAAAACCACACTCTAACTCCTGTTTCATTTATTTCTAGTCAAGCATAAATTTTCAAGCTTTGATGAAATATAATTTTACTGTTGCAGTGTCCACACCCACTAAGTAAGAGGATTTGGGATACTCAGAGAATCTAGATCCCTTTTCTGTATTGTTCACAGTTATTGATGATAAATTGACAACTTATTAATATTAAATTAAATATTAAATGTATCAACATAAACCATGAACCAATATTAAAAAAATTGAATCGGTCATTAAATTGGTCAAGGTATTGGTTCAAGTTGGATTGTAATCTAAATCGCATTTCAATCAGTTATAAATAAATTGATATATTTTAAATAATATATGCTTAAATAAAAAAATAATTACATCTACTAATAAAAATGAATTTTAAATTTCAAACAAAATAATATAAAATAAAAATGTAATATCCATCTATATTCCATCATTATCCAAAAAATTATATATACTTATTTCATAATTTATAATCTATAACTTTAAAATACATATATATATATACACACACACATATTTCTTGCATATTCGTTCATTTATCAATGTTTATTGGATATAAATATGTATAAATTATGATTTATAAATGTGCATTTAAATTTTAAAAAAAAACAAGATCAATTTAACCAATTTTCACACAAATTCATTTGGTTTTGACAAATTTGAGACCAGTTTAGTCAACTCTTGACCGATTCTCGAATGTGATAGTTTTTTTTATCATGATTGGATTGAACTTGGGACCAATTCTTGGTTTAACTAGTCAAATTGGCCAATTTGATCTGATTTGGTTCTCGTAACACTTCCATAACCATGAATTAACTTATTTATTTATTTATTTTACATTTCATATAAAAGACGAAAAACATGCGTTATTTGAATCTTAGCTAAAAAGCATCCGTAAAATGTTAAAATTTGTAGAAGGCATTGAGCTTTGAGTAATAATTAGAGAAACAATGCAATGTCGACATCTAGATATCTACTAAAAATTGATGACTTACTGTTTAATTACTATTTATTCATTGTTAAATTTTAAATTACATGTAATTTAATACACTTGACGATGCAAAGGATCTCATTTGAATATTAATTAAAGCTTATACAAATTGAACAATTTTAAAATTATTTAATTAATTATGCAATCTGAGGATGACCAACTAAATTCTTGAAAAAAGAGGAGTTTGTGGGTGCTATGTCTTGGCTCATTAACACTTGTCGGTTTCCGTGAAGGACAATATTTAGGATAATCCATTAATGCTTCAAAGTTTGGAGGGGAAAAGAAATTAATTACTACTCCCATATGCCTTATTTATAATTCATTTTTAATATGCTTCATTTAAAACTAACTATTATCCTATCTAACTATTTAATAAGTTTTTAATTTTGTTTTTATTAAATATACATATTTTAATAAAAATTTTTTATGGATCACAATATAAAACATTTTCTAGAAGATTTGCTTGATCCAAAATATAGGGTATTGGGTAGTTATTATAATTTTTTTCAATTATACCCCTACTTCTTTTGTTATTGTTTTTAGAAAATAGTTTATTGAGAGTATAATTGAAAATATATACAATTTTTTAAAAGATTGAACTTTTTTTTTTATAATCGCAAAGTAGTTAACAATGCCATATATCATGAATCGAAGGGAGTACTACCTCTTATCAATATTTAATTAGTAGTAAAAGGAGAAACTTGTAATAAAAAGTTAATGACATGTCTTATAAATAAAACCAAAATATTCTCTTCTCTCCATTTGAGAAATAAGATTGAGAGAGTATTATGAAATAATAATTTTTAAAAAATTACAATAAAATATCACTAAAATGACAATCAAATTCTTTGAAATATTATAATTTTTTTAAAGTCCTTAAGATTTTTCTGACATTAATGATTTTAGATTAAATGATTATATTGTCCTTTGTTTAAAATAAAAATAGCATGTCTAGCTCCATTCTCTCAATCACAACTTTTATTTAAACAATTACAACTTGTTTTTTTGTTAATCGCGAAAATTAAATAAGAAATCATAACTTTTCATATGAAATTTATTTTATGATTTATAAATAAGTTTTGAAAATAACTAGTCACAATCACAACTTTTATTTAAATAATCATAACTTTAATTTTTTGAATTGCAAAAAAATCACTTCTCAGGTGAAAATTCTTTTATCATTGAAGTCCAACTTTTGAAAATAATGAATTTCAAATTTTGTTCTATAAATCACAAGAATTGAATAAAAAATTATAACTTTTTACGTAAAGTCTCTTTTATTATTGAAGTTCAAGTTCTGAAAATAACCAATTATAATTTTTGTTTAATAATCACAAGTTTTATTCTGTGAATCATAAAAATTGAATGAAAAATGAAAACCCATTATTTTTTTTATTTTAAACAAGAGTCAATTTAATCATTTAACTTAAAATTATTAATGTTAGAAAGGCACCTAGAGATTCTAGAGAAATTATGATATTATTAGGGACTTGATTGTTATTCATATATAGAGAAAATGACAAGTAAAGACTTTGTAAGAATGTTAATATTAAATTAGGAACTTCAATATTAAAACATGATAGAAAGAGTATTGAAATTTACAAACATCAGTATCAAAAAATCTCAGTTTGACATTTATATTCTTACAATATTCTTATTTGTCATTCTCCCTTTATATATTTTGATGAAATTTTATTATCATTTTCTCATAATTTTAAAAGCTAATTGAAAATCCTCCATCACCCCTTCTTAATTCATCCCCCCCCCCCAAATTCTTATTATGAAGCCTAGTTAACCACTTTCATGAGATTAAAGAAATTAGATATATTTAAATGTCATAAATTTTTATAACTTCCCAAATTTACCCTTTCATTAGTATAAAACTATAGAAGATTGAGGAAAGTGCGAAAAGGAAATGAAAAAGCCATTATTTAAGCCAAGTAAAAAAAAAAGGGCATTTTTGTTAAATGAGTCACAAATATATTTGAAAAAATCACATCTAAAAACCTAACAAAAAACTTATTTGCATACAAGAACTAATAATAAGTTCCATTCAAGAAAAAACATATTCATGTTTTCATTTTAATAATAATTTATTTTATATTGATCTTCATCTGTGAATAAATTTTTTGATGTGATTCTTCTTAAATATTTCGTTAAATATTGGAAAGAGTCTTGTAAGTATGATCTTATAAGTAGGATCAAGAATGTAACTTCAATCAAAGGAAAAACTATAACCAAACCTTTTACTCCCCTCCCTTCCCTTC